TGAGGCGGAAGGATCACCAGAGCCCCAACAGGTCGAGGGTGCGGTGGCCGTGAGCATGCCCCTACACTCCAGTCTGGGCAACAGAGTGAGACTCTGACTCAAAAAAAAAAAAAAAAAAAAGTAATCATTCACGTAAAACACTCATGCAGCACCTGGCATGCAGTGAGTGCTTGTGAGCAAAGACTCTAATGGTTGTTCCAGCTTCAGTACTGCTGTTGTTCTGTGTCATCCATCAATTGCCACCTGGACTTCAGCATTTTGATTTGACAGTTTTATTTTCTAGTTAAATGATCCGTTCATTCCACAAGTATTTAAGCACCTACCTAACTGTCCTGAGCCCTAAAGAAGCCAAGTGTCCATTAGGGGAGACAGAGAGGCAAATGCATACATAATAAGGTATGTGCTGGATAGCTTGTTGATTGTATTAGTTCGCTAAGGCTGCCATAACAACACCTACCTGTACTACACACTGGGTGGCCTAGGTAACAGAGATTTATTTTCTCACAATTTTGGAGTATATAAGTCCAAGATCAAGTTGTCTGCAAGGTTAGTTTGTTCTGCACAAGGTTAGTTTCTCCTTGCCTTGCAGACAGCTGTGTCCTCCCTGTGTCTTCATATGGTCTCTTCTCTCTGTGGAAAGGTCTGTGTCCTAATCTCTTCTTATAAGGACACCAGTCATATTGGATTAGGGACCTAATTTTAACTTAATTACCTCTTTAAAGACTCTATATCCAAATACAGTCACATTCTGAGGTACTGGGGGTTAGGACTTTAACATATGAATTTGGGGGAGACACAGTTAGTCTGTAACATTGATTAATAAGTGCTCGAAGCCGGGTGTGGTGGCATGTGCCAGTAATCCCAGCTACGCAGAAGGTTGAGGTGGGAGGATCATTTGAGGCCAGGAGTTCAAAACCAGCCTGCACAATTTGGCAAGTTGTCCCTAAAAATAATAGTAATCATAAGGCCAGGTACAGTGGCTTACACCTGTAATCCCAGCAATTTAGGAGGCCGAGGCAGGAGAATCACTGGAGCCCAGGAGTTCGAGGCTGCAGCGAAATACGATCATGCCACTGCACTCCAGACTGAGTGACAGAGTGAGACCCCTCCATCTCTTAAAATAAAATTTAAAAATGCTTGTGCTGAATAGCTTCCATTTGCCCAAGCAGATCCACACTCACTCTCTGCCATCCCTCACCCTGCGCTATGTCACAGGAGGCTGGTTTCTGTGGACAGCATCTGCCAGCCCCTTGCCCTCATCTTCCAGCCAGGTTCCAGTTGGTGC